CTCGTGTGGGTCGCTGCTGTTGTCTTTCAGCTTCACGTCAAACTCAAATGGACTCTGTCAGAGGATTTGTACGGTTACTCTACAAGTTGAATTCTGGACAGCTGTAGTTCACATATTGATACTTTGCGGTGACGTCGGGCTGGGGGTGTTCTACGTGTGTTTTTATTGGTCGAACCTTCATCAGTTACCATGGTGATGCAATGCACACATTAGCAAACACTTTCAAACAAAGTGAACTTTACACCTGCAGTTAGTCACTTTCACCTTTTTGTCAAAAAACAAACTTGTAAACAGGATCATGTAATTGTGCTCTTTAAATCCATTTTGTATTTTTTTTCTTGAGTTTTCAGAAGGAAAAAAAAATTGTCCTTATTGCTAATGCGTGCATTGTGTCACCATGGTAACTGCTGAACATTCTGTTATATATACAGATATTATATATATATAGACCAAACACCCCCAACGTGATGCATGATGAAGTACTCCATTTTCTTAACTAAACTTAACTTTTTCTTAACTAAACTTAACTAGAAGTACAAACACAAGGGCAAAAAGTTACTAAAGAAAAAGTAAAAGTAATGCATGAAAAAGTAAAAGTATTTTGCAGAGATTTTTGAACTATTAAAGTATATTATGCAGTGATTTTGAAAAAGAATTTAGCTGATTTTAAGTGATTCAAGTGACTTCTTATTTATTTATTTATTTATTTATTTATTTTGCTGTTTTTGAGTTTTTGTGTTGCTCAGATTTGGGACAGAAACTCAAATTAAATGTGCTCAAAAATAAAGTCTCACCCTTTTTAGCAGGTCTCAAACCATAAACAAAAAGACGTTTTACTTTTGAGTCCAGATTTAAAATGTAGTGGAGTACAAAGTACAGATACCTGTAAAAGTATCCACTGTAATATTTACTTAAAGGTGCATTGTGTAACTTTTCTGGTTGAGGGTCCAACATCTACTTGAATGAATGTCAAGTAGAATGTTCTATGTTAGAGATTAAACCTATTTATCTCAGAGAGACAACTACATCTCATTACAGGGCAGATCTGTGGAGAGGCATCCCTATTCGCAGAGAGAACTACTGTAATTTGTTTTTGTCAAGCAACAGAATTATCCATAATAAATAAATACTAGATAGATATGCTTAATGTCATACCACGGGACATTCCAGGCAAAGCAACAACATCTCCATGAATACAAGCAGGTGACAGACCCTCCACCACAAACACTGCACAATGCACCTTTAAGTAAAGTAATGATATCTAAAATTTGTACTTAAGTATTGTACTTGTACTTAATTATTGTAACTTTTGTTCTTCGCTACCTTCCACCACTGACATCTGCATATAACTACACTGCTATTTTATTTCATTGTTTAAAGGTGCACTGTGTAACTTCTCTGGTAGAGGGTCGTCACTTGCTTGTATCTATGGAGATGTTGTTGCTTTGTTTGGAATGTTCCATGATATAACATTAAACACATCTATCTAGAATTTAGTCATTAAGGATGTTTCTGCTGCTCAAAAATAAAGTAATTGTCTCTGTGAATTGGGGCGCCTCTCCACAGATCTGACCTGTAATGTAGCCTAGCTGTTTCCCTTGAGATAGGCAGGTTAGGAGATCGGTTTAATCTCTAATGTGGAACATTCTAGATAAAGCAATAACATCTCCAGTGATTCAGACATAGTAACTGGTGAATTCAAACCCTAACCCATAATCTAGTTTCTACTGACGGATCTGTAGCTCTAATCTGTAGTTCTAGTGTGGCTGCTGAGAAGATGGAGGTCCAACATGGTTCAACCATGAATCAAATCAAATGAGAATACAATTTTTACAACAATTTTTAACAGAGTTTGGGGAAGCAGCGTGAAAATGTTGTTGCTTTGCCTGGAATTCTGCACAATATGACATTACTACTCTTTGTTTTACTCTTTATAATTGTAATATATTTTGATGTGTGAGCAACTGGGTCCAAGTCATTTCCCTTGTGGATCAATAAAGTCTATGCAAGTCTAAGTCTAAACATATTCATGAGGAGATGCCTTCAGGCCAAGTTACTGGTCAGATCAATGGAGAGGTGATCCTGCTCACACCAATAAAACACCTGTAATGGAATAAATACAAGGATATACAAGAAATAACTGCATTGCTATTGCTAACTATTCCATAATATAATTCTAATCTGCCTTTATAATCCTCCATATTTTATTGTATCATAGTGTAAATCTTGACCCAGAGCCCTGATTATGTCTTGGGTTGGACAGTGGACCAGAGTGACCAAAGCAAACACATCTCCTCGGCTCTTTTCCATTCAAAATCACACTAAACACTGTAGTTTGATCAAATAAGCCCGACTCACTTGAGTGGACTTACATTAGCCTGATTAAGCGCCTGTGATGGAAGAGTTCAAGTGCATCTGGCTCTTACTGATTAGAAATGTGGCCTGAGCTACGTGTGTGCTGCTAAAAAGCCAGTTAATAACATTACAAGGATCCTTTGTCCATATCATTAATGCTCTTCACTGGTACGAGTGCCCCGACCGGCCGGCCCACCCTCACGGACTAATCCAACGCACCTCTACCTCTACATTAACTCTGCACTAGTCCAGAGCTGTGATAAGACCATATGCAGTATCCAGGAAAGAACTCCAATATAACCTTTATGTAACAGATGACCTTATGTCCGGTCAATCATTACATCACCTCTGCACTCCTGTATACTCTATTTATATTACTATATTTCTATTTTTTATTTTACTTGTTTACGCGTGCACACACACACACACACACACGCCTCATTTTACTTACTTACTTGCTATATTTGCTACTTGTTTAGAATTTATTATTACCATTTATAATTTTCATTTTCTTCATGTTATTCTTCATATATCATGTTATTATAATACATTGTGATGTGTCTAAGTCTAAGTCCTAAGTCCTAAATCCTTAATTATATAAAATCAAAAAGGAAACATATTATAATATAATTAGATTTTTTTGTTTGTTTGTTTTTACGGTTTTGCTTTTGCACACATTTTGAACCCAGCAAACCCATTTATTAGTATTTGGATGTTTAAAGTTCACTGTGTAACATTTCTAGTGGAGTGTCCAGAACCTGTTTGTGTAAATCAAATCAAATAAATAAATAGAAATTGAAATGTTATTGCTTTGTTTAGAATGTTGTCCAGTATAGAGGGAACCTAAAATTAAATCTATTACGAGGGAGACAAGCAGGTTACAGCAGTACACTACATTACAGGTCAGATCTGTGGTGAGGCTCCCCTGTTCACAGAAGGAATGATTGTATTTTTGAGCAACAGAAACACCTGGAATGAACAAATGCTAGGCAGAAATGTTTAAAGTCATACCTTGGAATATTCCAGTCAAAGCAATAACATCTCCATGGAGGCGAGCAGGTAATGGACCCTCCACCAGAAAGGCTGCACAGTGCACCTTTAAGTAGTATATGTATGCACCATGCAACTGTGGAATTTTTAATCAGTAGTCCATTATTTCCATGTAAAAAAGGCAGGTGGCAGATCTCCATTAGAAAAGTTACACAGTACACCTTTATTTAGATTCATTTTCTCTGATTGGTTACTCTGCTTGTCAATCATCCCCATTTGAACTCTGGAAGACACAGCACACTGGACATCTTACAGGAATTCTGCTGTGTGACCTCTGGTTTACAAAAAATACCTGTGTACTAAAAAAAATAAAATAAATAGTGCGGAAGAAAGTTAAATTCTGACAAAGGGACAAAAGTTAGATTCTGTTTCGTCACTCGTCCAAGTAACTTTTTCATTTCTGACAGAGCGCTGGAAAGGGACTGCATGGAGGAGCTAACCCTCTGGAGACAACTCAGGTGTTACTGTGTTTATATAAATGGACAGAGCTAACCCGCTAGCTGCCACATTCCAAACAGGAAGTGAGCATGGGGGCACTTGGAGCTCCATTGCCTCTGGCTTGAAATGCTCATATTAACTCACTCTACATGATACTGGTGGATTTTGTTTTGTCCATAAATCAGTTCCTATTATTAATATGGACCTGGCTCCAAATTCACTCTTTAAACTGCTTGCCTCGATCAGCTTCATTTGACTAGAGCCGAATGCTGTGGGTGACATCCGTGGATTTTTTATAAAAATGGGATAAGCCCCTCCCCCTCTAGTGGCAGCTCCAGGTACTGCAACTTTAGGAGCTTCATTATGCTACAATTTCATGTATCGTGTCTTGTTTTTGCAAGTTGAGACAGTAGTATGTGGCTAAAGTGCAAAAACTACAACACAGCAGTTTGAGGAAGAAGCTGTGTGAGACAGTGTTGTTACAAGGATATTAACACTAGACACAGACCCCAATATTTGCTCAATATCTGTGGTCACACGGGAAGAGCTCGCCCATACTGTGGAAGTAAATGCAGAAGGTAAAATTATTTTTGGGCCCATGTGCCAATGAGCACAGACCACTGAAAACAATATGACGCCATCTTGGGTTCAACTTAAGATTTGATCATTGTTCTAAGGTGATGTCATACTTCTTTATACAGGCCATGGGCAACACACAGAAATGTCTCTGTGGGAAAGGTTGTAGCAGGTAGGCACAGAAAAGTCTCTATTGATGCTTACGTCACAAACCAGGAAGATGTAGTTCCCGACAGTGCACTCAGAGTTGTGTGTCAGTGGGGAAATGATGAAAACTGAAGGATGGTTAGAATTGTTGATTCGCCGAACATAACAGAACACTACAATGACATGAAGATGAAGAAAACCGGGACATTTTCAAATTTTTTGTAGAACAGAGCCCAAAGGAAGTTGTCATGGCATGTTTCCAGATGTCTTCCTCGTTTGTGTCGTAAGTGTGAATGGAGACTACAGAAGCCACATCTTTGTCAGTCTGCCCCAGGACAGCTGTAGTGTCAGAGGTATTTTTATCCACTCGGTTTTGGTGTGCGCTGTGCTGGGGTGGTGCAGGGGGTGGTGCAGGGGAAGGATGCAGGGGAAGGATGCAGGGGAAGGATGCAGGGGGTGGTGCAGAGGGGAGGGGGGAGGCTGAGCTGGAGGCGGTGAGTGGAGTGGCCTTGTTTGTGCCTCTCTCCTCTCCCCATCAGCCACCTGCCGAACAGACCAGGATCTGCTCCACCACTGCAGCAGAGGATAGAGACGGAGCATGAGACCCAAGGGAGGAGGGAGGAGGGAGGGAGGGAGTGAAGAGGAGGGAGAACAGAGGGGAGAAGGCGGGGGAGGGAAGGAGGAGAGAGATAGAGTAAGAGAGGAGGAGAGGAGATTCACAAGTAAAACTTACATGAAGCAACTCAAACTGAATCCAGTAGTTGTTTACATTGTAAAAGACATGCAAATATGAAAAACAAAATGTCCCCATTCTAAGCAAAGGGACGTATATTTACAGATGGAAGAAGTTTTGCATGAAAAACACACATTTTGACACATTTCCGGTGTGATTCCGATTCAACTGCTGCTTTGTCTGAATCATAAAACCTCTGCTCTCAGCACGTGACACTCTCTATTTAATAACAGTTCGCGCTTATCTAAAAAAAATGTATTTGTTGTGATTAAGGGGGGGAGAAGGGAGAGAGAAGGGAGGTAGGAGAGGAGATTCACAAGTACAACGTATACACACTAGCCCGCTCAGATTATATCATGTAACTTAAATTTAGTTTGACAGTTTTTACTTTGGCAAACATTTTGAATCCAGCAAATACATTTATAATATTTGAATGTTTAAAGGTGCACTGTATAACATTTGTAGAGGAGGGTCCGTTATCCGTTATCATGGAAACTTTACTGCTTTGTCTAGAATGTTCCACAGTATAGATTAAACCTAAACCTAAATCTATGCAAGGGAGAAGAGCAGGTTACAGCTTTACACTACATTACAGTTTAGATCTGTGGAGAGGCGCTCCAATTCACAAAATGAAAATATTTGACTCTTCAGTAGTTGACACTTGTTGAAATTACACAGGTTTTTGTGTTCAACATTCAAGACATTTTCATTTGTCCAGACAGAAAAATACATTGAATGTTCAGCATGTTTTTTGTCATAGATATGAACCATAAACCAGAACTAAAGACCGAAAGGTTTCCAAGCTAACAGACATTTCCAGGCTACTTTTCAATCTAAAAAGGTATATATATATATATATATATATATATATATATATATATATATATATATATATATATATATATATTTGTGAGATTATTTTGTGAGATCGATTTTTTTTTTATTATTTATTTTTCTATTTTATTTTGATTTGTGCATTGCTACTTATTTAGAACTTATTATTACCATTTATATATATATTTTTTGTAATTATTATATATTGTGATGTTTGAGCTACATGTGTCCAAATCATTTCCCTTGTGGATCAAATTTACTTGAGTTCAAGACTCAGTGTGTGTGTGTGTGTGTGTGTGTGTGTGTGTGTGTGTGTGTGTCCAGTAGTGCTGAAACTAATGAATATTTTGCTAAATAATTAACCTAGCATTTTAGCATTTAAGACAAATCAAATTGAATCCAGTAGCCAGTAGTTCTTTACATTGCAAAAGGCTCGCAAATATGAAAAACAAAATATCTCCAGTTCAAGCCAAAGGGACGTCCTGGTGGAGTATATTTACAGACAATTCTTTTTTTTTTTTTTTCATGAAAAACACAAATTCTGACACATTTCCGGTGAGATTATGATTCAACTGCTGCTTTGTGTGAGTCATAAAACCTCTGCTCTCATGACACTCTCTAGTTAATAACAGTTGTCAGGTATCACAAAAAAATGTATTTGTTGTGATTAATCCTAAAGTTGCAGTGTGTAACTTTTCAGTTGGGGGTCTGTCACCTGCTTGTTTCTATGGAGATGTCATTTCTCTGCCTGGAATGTTCCACAGTGTGACAGTAAACAGCTCTACTTTACATTTATTCAGTTACAGGTGGTTTTACAGCTCAAAATTACCTAGAAAAATAGGCATTCTGATTGGAAGCGGGGTTGCCTCTCCACAAATCTGATCTGTAACTTGGTCTGGTTTGGTTTCCATGAAAAGGTTTAATGCCATACTGTGGAACATTCCAGACAAAGCAATAACACTTCTGTAGAGAACAGCATTTGACGGAGCCTCCACCAGAAAATGTACACAATGTGCCTTTAATCTCAATCTAAAATTATTCTAGTTTTCATTTGGACTGAAACACAATGATTTCTATATAGAATAAACATTGTTGTTATTATATTTTGTACAACAACATATCAGTTCATTTAACACAGCATTGCCGTGTATAATGTTATCTTGCGATTCCATCAAACCAGTTAAAACCAAATCTCTCCATACAGTTAGGCTGAAATAAATGAGCAGTTTTTCCTTTTCTCTCGATGGCGATCTCTTGCTGTGTGGGAACATTAGCAGCAGCTCAGCGTGTCAGCCATGTCAAGTGTTACAGTCCCCTTCCCGTTTCAGAGCGGAAAATATCTCCCCAGAAATGAATTCACATCCAAAGGGCTTGTCTTCCTAAAATGATTAACCCTTTGGAGAGCACATTATTGAGATTTGAGTGGAGCCGCTGCTGTTCCGCGTGCCTTGATTGTCCCTGTGTTCGTCATTATAAAGAAAAGAAATGTTGAATAGGAGAGGCGCATTTTCCCACAGGCACTCAGCTCAGAAAAATACCTCTTTGTGGCAGGTTCCCATCCCAAAACCAGGGTCCAGGGTCCACTATTGGCTCCGGGACAATGCTCTTATGAAGGACTGACCCCTCATTGACCAGCTACTAATCAGTGACAGCCAAGTTCAGCTGACAGGCAGTTTGTGTGGTATTTGTACTTGACCAAGAAGCCAGAACAGGAATTAGCACGAGGTTATCTGGTTGTGTCATGTACACAATAATAGACTCTTTAAATAAAACTTTTATTGAAATATTTTTCCAAAATTGCAGAGTATCTTGTGACTAAATGTATGTTGCCTGAAACACATTCAGATAATAAGTAAATCTTATGATAGAGGTTTTTTGTTTTTATAATTTTTTTTTATTATTTTTTTTTTAGAAATGATATTAAAACCTAATTCAAATAATATGACGCTTGATTTGTTTATTAAGTGTACTCTACTTTAGTTTTTACATTTTCTTTCTTGAACATGTTTGTAAATTATAGTAATTTGTGCTTTTGCTAATTAGCTTCATGGATTCTTTTAGATTATTATATTTTTAATCGTTGAAATAAAATAATGAGTTAAATGTGACGTGTCTTCAAGTGTGAAACTGTCATGTATTACTTGCTGATACATTTCTGAACAAAGTTTGTTTTGTTCTCAAGTTTGAGAAGTGCGCGTTTCTTCTAACCTTACGCAGTGACGTAGGTCACGGGAGACCCAATCAGCGCTCCGGATTTGGTTTATACGGAAGTGCTATAGCGGATGTGCTGAAGCTGAGCGGAGACGCTGCAGCTCCGAACCAGAGCAGAAAAATGTCCGGATTCAGAGACTGCGTGGCTGAGATGTTGAGAGAGTTAGCGGAATTTGGGAAAGAGGTTTGTCAATGTCGTTTAATCCACGTGGAACCGAGTATTACGCTGTTTGTGGAAGATTTTGATCATCTGCTAACTGTACATGCTAATGTTTTTAGCATTCACCCCATTCATTTAGTGTTAAATAGTAGGCGTTTAAACATGAACGGGGTTCTGGCATTTTACTGACTGAGATGCTTATTAAATATTTGATTGTATGTCCTATGAAGTAGTAACACTTTTTTTTTAATATATATATAACTAACAATACAGTAGTTGACATGCCTCATCTTTTTTGTAAACAGGTTTTGTGTGCAGTCTATGATTTGTACAGAATAAAGTAAAAAAGTAAATTTACCTACGGGTACGAATAAAGCAACCTAACCTAAGTCAGTATGACTTTAAAAAGCAGTTTCTCTGAAATTTTTAAATAATCAAACTACCCTTTACCTTAATAACGTGATTACCAAATCATGTGTATTTAGTTTTGAAACCTTCTATCCTACACTAAAAGAGACAATTTACTGTAGGCGGAGCAATGTTATTATACTAATGTGAATATAATTATCATAAAATGTATATATATATATTTTTATGTTTTGTACCTCATAAATACATGCCATGTGCTGAATTGTATTCCACAGTGATTGTTACTGAATGCATTTTATTTTTGTTTTAGCTCAAATTTGGAGACACTGCTTTGAAAATTAATGTCCAGTCAAATGCAGTGGATCTTCAGTCCTCTTCAGCTGCTCATGTTTACAGCTGTTTACAGCAGCACATCTCAAAACTGCAGGTAACAGCAGCGCATCACAATTTATGAATTTTATAAATGTATTTTTATTCAGTACTTTTGCTCATTTTATAAACATAATGTAATGTGTTCTTAATATGTTACTATTAAATGATATGCAAACAGATTTGACGTGATAACTGACAATTCTGCTGCATTTTGCTTCAACATTATATACATTGTTTTACCCTCAAAAACTAAAATCTCAATAGTCAAAAAACTACTTCCAGTGGAAGTACATATATCTGTATTACATGTACAATAATGAGGGAAAAAAAAAAAAAACCTTACATTATTTTGAGTTGAGCTGATTAACACAGCTCACACATCACAATAAATATAATAACAAAGAGCAAAAATATGAAGTGTAATAACACATCCAAAATAAGAAGCAAAAAAAGCAAGAGACTAGTGTCAAATAAGGCACAATTTTACAATTTCCTTTTATGCAAGAAGTGGGGTAAGGTGATTCCCTGCAAAAATGAAATGAAAATGAAATGACATCATTATCTTTAAAATAATGCTTGCTTGAAGAACAAGTGGTTGAATCATTATTATTGATTCATCTTCAAACATCTGTAAGTGACATGTTATTGGTTAAAAATGTCAGTGTTACCTTCATTCTCTTATAAACATTCTTCTATACTTGTTTTCACTTTGTAGGCTGTGTCCAAGAGCCTGAAGTCAGTGCTGGACTCGGACAAAGCCTCTGAAAACAGCATTACATCACTCCCACTTAAACCGCAGATTTCCTCTTGCTCGGATCCTCCCCTCTCCGTCGCCACAGAGAGCCAAAGCGATGATGTCATGGTCCAGATCCGAGCCGGGAAGTCGGAGGTGGGTGTCGTCTGCCCGTCAGCTGTTCTGAAAAACCCCACTTTACTTTATGTCAAGCCAATGAATAATGGCTAGTAATTGCAGCAGAGGATGTGCACATGAGGAGACTGGGATCTGATAAGCCAAGTTGGGCATAGAATATAAGCAGTGCTCTGGTTGTGAGATGGGCCGAGCGGAGCATCGGTGGAGGGCTTTGAGAGAGAGCCAGGCCCTTGATGCATGATGAAGTGGATGCTCATTACTCTGAGATTGCATGTGGATGAAGGACAAGAGGCCCTATTCTGTTGTGCATTTATTTTGGTAGCCAAGCAAACAGTATTCATATTTGTCCCACGTGATGACAGCTTGCAATTCAACTTTTTTTGGCCACCTGTAAAAGTGCTGCTGTGACTGTGTGTGTCGTGGCGTTTAATGTAAATTGCTTTGTGGTGTTTGTCCCTGGCCATTATGATGAAGTGGCCCAAAACGCATGAATGCATTCTTGACACCTATCAGCAGGCCATCAGAGCATTACATCTTATTATGCCTGCTGTCTGTTCTTTGTAATCCCCAGATCGAGCGGAGAATATCTGCATTTATGGAGCGCAAGCAGATGGAGATCAATGAAAACAATGTACGAGAGTTTTGCAACGTGATCGACTGCAATCAGGGTGAGAATGGTGCGGAGGGATGAGGGGGGAGGAGGGGCAGGGCAGGGGGGCGCGCAGCTCAGATTGCCAATGTTTGGGAGAGAGCTGATTTCCACAGGCGAGAGGTCAGGCTGAACTGCTGCAGGAGTGGGCTGAAGGAGCTAACACTCTGGGCCTCAAAGCACCACCGGCTCCGTCCAGAAAAACAGGCGCGCTCACAGGCCTTTGAATCCCAGCTCTTAACACAGCCAGTAATAGAAATCAGGGCACGCTAATGGCAGCCCTCACAAGTGACATGTATACATTTTTCCTAAATGCATTTAATTAGGCTTTTGCATCGGTCTGATTACATTTCAAATGTCTCCTCTTTAGAAAACAGCTGCGCCAGAACTGACGCTGTGTTCACGCCGTATCCAGGATTTAAAAGCCACGTCAAAGGTAAGAAACACATGTTTGCTGAAAATGTCAATGTGACATTTTAGGCAGACTTGTTTTCACAATTGTGTTTCATCATTTTTTAAATTAGACATAATTATGACCAATCACAGGCCAGTAATACCACGTCTGATTACGAGGCTTAAGATATGCAGATTTAAAGGGATATTTATTATTGTCTAATGCAGTGTTTGGGCCAGTCTGTTTGTTGTTCTCAATAAAAGGTTACTTTAGGCCAGAGTCCCATCCACTGCTTCTTATGTAGTCTTATGTAAAGGCTATGCAACTTTTTTCTATATGCTTCAACAATCCATCGGTATTTACTTGTGTAGTTCATTAGTTTCCTGTTCATCGTTGTCTGTGATTCATGTAAAAGCGACCTCCTGCTGACCTTACACTTCTGTCTTCAGTGACTCGTGTGGTGAACAGTTATGGGCCACAGACTCTGATGGGCTCGAGTCCCACAGACCTGCAGCAGACTCAGGCCCCAGCTCTGCCTCAGGACTGTGGAAATGCTGCCATAGAAGAACGACTGCAAAACATCGAGGAGCATCTCAAACTGCCTTCAGGTCAGTCAGGCCTGTCACCATGATCACTATCGACTTCTCCATCAATATGAAAGTTGGGACAATATATTTTAGAGCTCAGTATTCATCACATGTCCATTTTTCGCAATAATGGGGAGAATGCTGTTCTTTTTGTTGTAATACGGTAAGATCTGAGCTGTAGAGGGTTGAATAAATAATTCTTATGGCTAATTATTGCTTCAATCTGCTATTTATTTGTGACAGGTCAAGTTTTTTAAAGGTTCTATGTTACACAAAATTGACTCTTGTGAGCTTAAAGCCCAGTTATAACGCTAGATACCTGGAACTGAGATTTGTTTCATTCACACCTGTTGGAATAATCCTGCTTTATTAGTCTGTCTACATCTCCAAAGCTCAGAATGCTCTCTTCCACCTTGTGATATCATTTAATGGTAGTTTTCAAGTTAACAGCTCCTTTTACCTTTAGTTCAGAAGAGATTCCAGATTTGAAATGACAATCTAAATGATTCTAGTGATTCTAGTGAAGGTGTATGGAGTTTAAAAACACAGTGGAGCACTTCCTGTATTACCACATGACATCATAAGGTGGAACAGAGTATTTTCTATTTGAGAGAAAAACTCCTAATGCCTAAATCTTCTGGGTTTGTGTGTTTAAACAGGTGTGAATGAAACAAAACGCACAAACAACACTAGAACAGAGATCAGAAAAAGCGTAACATGGGCCCTTTAATAATCTTGTCAAGTCTAAAAATAGTTTACTTGGATTGTTGTTGTGTCTGCGGTATAAAGTACATTTGAATAGTAGCTTCAACATTTGTGACAGGACTAAGGTCAGTTCCAAACCTGCTCCACTTACTCTCCAGGCTCAGTGCTGTGGCCTATTCATTTGCTTCATTAGATTAATTGCCATTGCATTATAAAAGAAGTGCTCTGAAATGTAACGGCTATTACAACATGATTTTATGAACAATTTATCAGTAAGTATTTTAGACCTTGGATATGGTGGAGCAGGTGATGTGTCATTGGTTGTAAAGTGAATAGAAATGGAATCCACTAATGCTGCCATTGTATTCGGGATTGGAGCACTTTTGCAGTACAAATATTAAGAAATGAATGAAAGAAAAACTAGCTCCTAACTACCACTGTACACAGACATTTTTATTTGACAAATAAAAGTACAAGAAAATGCCTGTGTTTTGTTAAAATAATCTTCAAAGTCTTATATGTAATTTGGACAGAATTCTCAGTGTAGGACTCCCTAAAACTCTCTACTTTCTGTAATTTTTGGAACTTGTATTTTTTGTGAAGAAAAGGTTAAAAAAAAAAAGTGTCATCTTGATTGGTGTAATATTATCATTTATATTTACAATAGTTATTATCCCACCAGATTAAGTCAAAATTAAATTAGAATTTAACCTGACTCGCCCACAGTCTCTGTGTACATTGGTGTATGAGTGCGTGTGTGTGTGTGTGAATGTGTAAGTATTTGCCATTTACCATTAATACGTTTGAGAGCTTTAGCCAGTCCACCTATTTAAAGAATCTGTTTAGTTTACTCTAGAGATGTAACAGTAATTGAAATTTGATGATGTGATGCATCATCACGTCTCACATATCATAATATGTCAACTTTCAAGTCTGTTTGCTTAAATTAATAGTTATGGTGCAGCAACAGCTAAAAAACAGAGGGAACTACATAGACCATGATCCTTTGCTTTGATTTAGTGCAGACTACATGAAGAAATTACTGTTCTAAGCACTTTTAAATCTTAGTTCTTTGGATTAAGTCTTGTCAAGGCATTTTAAGAGGAAAAAGTAGGATATTCAGTTTTGTTAGCCTCCACAAAATATGTACTGCCCTAATAAACAGTATTTTTGCTCCCTTTCTGTCCCTGCCCCCGTCCCTGCCCCTGCCCCTGTCCCTGCCCACAGCCGGCCCGGTACCTCTTAGTGTTTACCAGCGGATAAAGAAACTAGAGGACCGCATTCTGGAGCTGGAGGGCCTGTCTCCGGAGTACTTCCAGACCACGGTGAGAGAGAGGCTGCTCTGAAAAGGCAGCCATCTTAATTAACAACACGGCTCCACTGGCCACAAGTACCTTTTGGGGAAAATGTCAGATTATGGTTTGTTAAGAATTATTGGAGCACTTAAATGAAATTATTTCCTCTTATCTTAGGAACAAAGTCAAGTAATTGGGGAGTGTTTTTTGGCTGGAAGATAAAAATAGCGAAAGCCGAAGGTGATGACCTTATTTTGAGCATAGTTTTTGATAATTTGGAAAGATTGGAGGAGATAAAAGTAGCAAGAGGAAGCTGACTTTGCTGTCTCAGAGGTTGATAGTGTTAAAATGGTTAAAAATGAGGGTGGTTACTTAAAATTTGCAGCTATCCAACTCAATTTGAAATTGCTGTGATTCTGTTAGTGTTGTCCACCCACTAACTAAAGGCTTAACAGTTGATTTCCACTCACAGCAAATGCATTGTGCTGTTGTGTCCTTGAGCAAGACGTACCCACCTTAGAACCAAAGTTGCCAGGATAGAGTACAGGTTGAGTGGGCAGTCATCACATTTGGTCTGTAAATGTGATACAAACAAAAAACAAAACAATAATCCTTCATAACTCCTCAACTTTTTATGTTTATTATTTAAGTTATTAAAGGTGCACAGCGTAACATTTGGAGTGGAGGGTCCGCCACCTGCTTGTCTCCACAATAAGATAACAACAACTAGCATAACAACTAGGGACACAGGGCTCAAAACTGGGACTGTCCTGGGTAAATAGGGATGTCTGATCTAAGGTAATGCCACTGTTTGCTGGACACAGATTGCAGTATTAATCTGAGCCAGGTAACAATAAATGCATAATGAACTCCTTGTTTTAGTGCGTACTTAAAGATCAGGGTAAAAATCAGGGCCTCTTTCTTTGTTTACGTTTGCAGGATTAGCGTCCAGTTTTTGTGCCATTCAAATGTCAAAAGCAGGTGACAGTCGGTTCAACCACCACAAGCAGCTGTGCTACATTAGCGTTAATGTAATTAGCCTTAAGTATTTACAGAGTTGGTTAAACGTACGTTAGCTCTATACATATGTTTGTAGATTGACTTCTTTGCTACACTTGACAACAGATTCTGAAAGGCAAAGTGAGATTAAGCAATGGCCAAAGTCTTAATACAAATGAAATGAAATAAGAAGACGGTAGAAGACGGTAGAAGACGGTAGAAGACCAAAGACTTGTATAGCACTTTTCTTGACACTGAAAGATGCTTCACACAGTTCAAAGAGACAAAACCGAAACAACAAAAAACAATGAAAATTTTAATTGGAATTGAAAATAATGTAACTTATGCAACCATATAGAAAATCGTCCTTCACAATCCCATATATGCTACTATTCAGTTACAGGTGCTTTTACAGCTCAGAAATCTCTAGAAAAACAGACATTGTGACTGTGAGCAAGGGCGCCTCTCCACAGATCTGACCTATAACTTGGTCTGGTTCGGTCTTCATGAAGATTGAAAGGTGTAATGCCATACTGTGAAACATTCTAGACAAAAACAATAACATCTCCAATGGAGAAAACTATTTGGTGGACCCTCCACCAGAAAAGTTACACAGTGCAGCTTTAAATACCATCTGTGGAGAGGTGAGCTTGCTTCAGTAAAAATACATGTTTTCAAGGTATTTTTATAGCTATAAAAACACCTGTATTTTAATATCTTGAGTTTTTTTGTTTAGTTTGTTTGTTTAATGTTGGACGATAGAAGATTCTAGGCAAAGCTGTAATGTCTCCATGGAGACAAGCAAGCAAGTACATTTAAATTGATTCATGTTTAAACAGAATGTTGCGTCTAGAGGTGGGGCATTTTGACAGTTCTGGAGTATCTCGATAATGAGTTTCAGACAATGTTATGTTAAAAATGTGTTAAAACATTTCTTTATTGGTAGTTGAGAATTAACTGACAAATGTGAAGTGAAATTTGGAAGTTGGAAATTCTCTTGTGAGTGAGTGAATCATGTTCTAATGTTGTTCCCTCCTCAAAAACAGACCTGGACTTTCATTCACATGTTTGAGTAACACTTTATTATTGGTCTGTCTATATCTCCAAAGATCTAAATGCTCTGTTCCACCTTGTGATGTCATGAAGCGATAGTTTTCAAGTGAACAGCTGCTTTTACCTTTAGTTCACTAGAGATCGGCAATTCCAGTGCTGAGATTATCCAAATGATTCTAGTGAAGGTGTGTGGAGTGTAAAAACCACATGACATCACAAGTTGGAACAGAGTGTTTTCAGTTTGATTTCAGAGCTCAGCCTAAATGTGCAGGTATGTGTGTTAAACATGTGTGAATGAAACAAAACACAACTCCAGGTGTGTTTGTGATGAGGAAACGACATTACAGCATAACATAGATCAGAAAATACCCTAGTGTGGGCCCTTTAATCATATTATCTGTTTAATCTGTTTAATTTGCCCACTTCTCATGTTGTTATCCTGCCATGTTTGGGTCACCTTCCTCTGACATCACACCTCTTGTTTTTAATCTCCATGACGATATTCCGCCCCCTCTTTCTCTGTAGTAGCAGCTCCGTCAGATGCTACTCTCACGCACTGCACACACAAGGATAATTTGGATCAGAGAGGGTCCAGCGCGTGTTTACAGATGAGACTGAGGGTGCTTGAGTTATACATGCCTCTCCCTCGCTCTCTCTCTCTTTTACCCAGCATGCAGCTCTCCACACGCTTTTGACTTGGCACATTTTTGAGCAGAGGAAGTGGAGTGTCTTTGAATAAACTGATGGGGTCTTTTATATTCGGAGTGCCACTTTTTTTTCACCAGTCGCCTTTTTATCGCTTTTTTTTTTTTTTTTGTATCAGAAATTCTAGTGTAGTTTTGTTGTGGTACGAGAGCACAGCACAGTTAGGATCACAATTCTCAAAGTGACAAGGAGTTTTAAAGGGTAAATCTTTGGGTAAAATGGTAAATACTTGACTGAAACGTGGGTGTGATACAGGTCAGAATGTGATTTTAAAGGTCCTGTATTACACTAAATGAATGCTTGTGAGCTTTAAGGCACATTCTAATGCTGTTTCCTTCTCTAAAACAGATCTGGAGTTGTGTTTTGTTTCATTCATACATGTTTGAGTAACGCTTTATTAGTCTGTCTACATCTCCAAAACTCAAAATGCTCCTCTCCACCTTGTGATGTCATGAAGCGAGAGTTGTAGAAGTTTTCAGTGTGTCCAAGAAAGAGTGGAAGTAAAAGGCTGGAGACCAACTGGATGTCTTAAGCAGGAGAAGTTTATTTATCATCAATAATACAGGCCCTTGAAAAGTCAACATAGTCTGATTTCAAAAGTGAACAGAGTATGATCTTTGAGTTTTCAAGCCCCTTGACTAAACTTCCAAAGGAGGAGGTTTATAAATCTAGTGGTTTATAAATCTAGTGTGGTGAGACTGTGAAGACCAGTAGGCACCGGTTAGACAGCAATATGTCATAATTTACCATATTTTTCAGACTATAAGGCGTAATATCAGTAATGTTGAATTCTCTCATCTATTTTCATACATGAGGTGCACAGAATTATAAGGACTGATCCCTTTTCCAGGCGTCCATGATCCATCAGCAGATCGTGGTGTAATTCGCCCGGCGTTGCCTCCCTGTCTTGGTGAATGTGGATTATGAATGTGAATGTGTGTGGAAAATTTAAGTTTGTATTTTATTTCCTGTGAGTAGGACTCAAATATACATTGAGTAATAATGTGTTTAATACAGCTTTGTGCACATTTCTTTATGTTTTACAAAAAACTAAACTTAAAACCACATGGCATATTTGCATAAACTATAAGCACTGAAAAAACAGCTCGCTCCTTGTGCGTTGATGTAGTCAGCTTCTGTCAGACTAAAGGACACAACTCAGTGTCATATGTATTCTTTCTGCAACAAGGCAACAGCAGCAGTGTGCGTTGAGTTGACACAGAACTATACTTCGCCCTTTACTTCGTGAGGCTCCTGACTATGGTAGCTGTAATGCCAAAGTCGGTAGCTGTGAACCAAAGTTGTACATTTTGACAGATTTTTGAGCGCCATTTACCACATGAAATTGGTTTGAGGTCAGTAAGTGCAAACAGAATTAATACATAAGACGCACCGGATTATAAGGCTCTCTGTCAATTTTTGAGAAAATGTAAGGATTTTAAGTGTGCCTTAAATACGGTAGATAATGGTGTCAATGGTGTGCCAAGGGAAGATGATGGTGTTACTACAGCTCCTGTGAGTCAGTGTTAAACTGACAGATGGCGTGTGTCGTGTGGTCCTCTGCTGCGTTTTACGTATTTAGCTATATAAAATAGCAATAAATACATAAGATTATTATGGCTTTATTGTTTTAGGACTGGTTTGATCGTATTTTTAGCAATTTACCTTTTTGTTGTCTTCATTTTATCACCTTCACCTCTGAGCAGCACTTTGGAAATTGCTTTGTTTGTAAAATGTGCTGTAGAAATAAAGTGGATTTGGAATTATTGAAGGTGTCTAGAGTTTAAAAACACAGTGGAGCATGTATTATTATGTCATGTATTATTACCACATGACATCACAAGGTGGAGCAGTGTTTTCAGTTTGACAAAAGAACTCTGCAGGATTTGTGTGTTAAACATGTGCGAATCAAACAAAACATGACTGCAGGTCTGTTTGTGGTGATAAAACATGACAAGAGAAATCAGAAAATGCCATAATATGGGCCCCTTAAGTGACTGAAGTTCATGGGAATCGGAATTATCCACCAACTTGCTTTTCGTCGTCCTCAAATTTGTCAATATGTCTTTACTTTACACCAGTTGTATCGCAAAATTGATTAACTATAAGTACATGTATTTCTTTTTTTTCTTTTTTTTTTCTCAAAATAAAGGAATAAAATAAAGATAGAACCAGCTCCAAATGCACGACCAAACTGGGACTATCCAAGGTCCAAACCCTTTTTCTGAGCTAATCGATCTTATCATTACAACATTCCACCTGCAGAACATGTCGCATTATTTTCAGTTTCTTAAGGCCTGCTTTTATGGGCCTATTCATTTCTAAGTGTTTTTATGGCATTCCAGTGGGATTATTGGTTCTTCGGGTTTGATAAAGTTCTTTTGACTGCCCTTGAGAGGCTGAGTCCACACTGTGCGAATGCTTAAGGTCTTCTCTGCTCTTTCTTATAGAGTCACCTGCACAAGCGGCCCAAGCTCACACAGCCACAGGTGGGTACGATCTATATTACGTTTTTATTATGATTAAATTGGACCAGAACATGTGAGAGTGACACCTGGTTTTAAATGCTTGTCCACTTGAAATTGATGTGTTAATTTAATGAAAACTGCATTGAAGCAGGTCTAAAGCGTAGTAGGGCTGCAATCCAATAGAGCTGCTCCAGTTGTCACGCAGTCCCAGCGTGCACCTCCAAATCCCACTCTGCCAGTGGTCACGGCTGAGAACTCTCATAGAAACTAATGGCGTGGTCCTCAAAGAACAAACTTTATTGGAGTTTAGAGATTGTGGATTATTGTTGCACACTGGCAAGAATACATTACAAAGATAGAAGAACGCCTGAGCCTTTTACAGGATTTACAAAGCTTGAGAATGACGGGAGATGTGGATTTCTGCAGCTAAATGGGCTTGCAGCTAACATTCATCACTTTTTTTAATCAATTTCACATAATTTAAATTGTCAGTATCAGTAAACGTTATATGTACAGGGCTTTATAAAAAATTTAATTTTTCGCAAACATCTCCAAGGAGCTTTTTTGTTATAAGACAGTGAAAAGTAAACCAGACGTCCAGACATATCAGAATTAAGGCAGGTGCCAGATAAGAGTCACCACTGCCAACATGGCGCCCCGTCAGATTTAGTCATGTGGGTGCAGGAGCTCTGATATCTTTTACTAGAGATGGGACGATGAGAATGATCATTTGTGGGACATTTTATATACTGTAATCATGGTAATCGCCAAATTAGAAAATCTCCATAAATCACCAGAATGTGCATACATACTTTTTACATACTTTTCCATGATGTTTTCTTCTAGATCACTGTTTTTACTTTCATCAACAAAATGTTGAGGAGAACAAGCTTTTCCTCGCGTGTTCGTTAGTTTCTGCTTAGATTTAAAAAAAAAAAAATTACACTTGAAACAGAAATAAAGACCAGATAATTTACTGATTCCAAAGTCATAGTTGTACACGGAGTCTGTGCTGACATTCCCATGCAGAGACTGAATATTTACACCTATACAATGATTTTCATACGCAAACTATAGTGGGAGGCGACCGTCGTTTAGACTTAATGCCTCTTCGTTGGTGCTCAGGTGATCCAGGCCTCTTGGCACGTTGCACAATCTTATCCGATTGTGACAAGGATCCCCCGGATTCATCTCACTCCCCTCACAGGAGCGTCTTGCTTCTCTGATCAGGGTGATGAGTCGTGAGTCAGTATATCCCTATCAATAAGTCCTTGCCCTGTTTAGTTAATTGATTAGACATATAGATAGAACTAGAATATCTTGTACATGAACGGAAATCATCTCTGCATCCCTCACCTGTAATCTAGTCCCTGTTTTCTGGGGCATTGTTTAGTGAATTCTAATAGTACAATAATAAAATATAGCAGCACATCAGTTACAGCATAGCAGTAGTTATACACCACCTAGGGCAAACAACTAGGCTTAACAAAAGTACAAGACTATAACAGTTGTTTAAATTTGGAACCTGTTCTTTTCTAACCTGTAATATTCAAATTACCATTATTCATATCCATAACATTTTTAAACTGTCAGCAACTGATATTAGCATAATTGTCCTGATGTTATTGTTAATCGCAGTTATTTTGTTCATCCACAAACACTTACCCTATAACACTCTATTACAAACACTCTCAGTCCCAAAGCAAACCCAGGACTACACCAGGACATAAACCAGTACTGACCTAGATGTAAACCCAGACTAAATCAGGTCGAAACCGGGACTACACAATGACATAAATTAGTTCTAAACAAGTATTGAGACTAAACCAGTACAAACCAGGACTAAACCAGGACATAATCCAAGTCTAAACCAGGACTAAATCAGGTCACAACCAGGCCTACACTAGGACTAAACAATGACATAAACACTAAGCCAGGTCTAAGCCAGCAAAGCTTTGGGATGCAGGAGTGCTGCTTGGATATACAAAAATGTGCTGAATTGTCCTTTTGGTGCTCTTCAGTGTAGGGACCAGACGAGGAAAAAAACTGAGGCATTCAAAAAGTACAAAATAATTAAAAGCCTTTAGTACCACAAGGCAGATCAAGTTAAAATTACGCCAATGCGTTTCGGCCCTTCGGGGTTCAGGTCTAAGCCAGGTCTAAATAAGAACTGAGACTAAACCCGGTCTAAACCAGGTCTAAACCCAGACTAAACCATGCCATAAAGCAGTGCGGGCGCAGACCCAGGACTACACCAGGACATAAACTAGTACTAAACCAGATGACATGGTTAAAAGCGCATAAAAGCCAGTTTTACATATGTCCAAACCAACCAAATGTTGATCAAAATAGCAAAAAAAAAAAAGATATATCTAGATGATGTCTATATCTACACATACATCTATATAAATTCATTAGCAGTGGCCCATGTTTTCAATCTCATTTTCTCTTTCATTAGGACTTGTGCATATGCATTTATATAACACTGCCTTATTTGACACTAGTCTCTTGCTATCTTTTTTGTTCCTTATTTAGAATTTGTTATTACCTTTTTTTTTTAATATGTTTTACTCTTTGTTATTTTATTATATTGTGATATGTGAGCTACTGTGTCCAAGTCATTTCCCTTGTGGATCAGTAAAGTTTATCTAAGTCTAAGTTTCAGTTGCTGACAGTGTGTTTTTGGTTTGGGTTCCTCTCAGTCCTGCAGTCTGACGGAGCTGGATGAGAAGATCAGTGCCGTGAAGGCGGCGCTGCTGAAGAAAGTGAGTGACTTTGGGCCTGGATACGGCTCAGACTGTGCTCTCTGAGAGACTGTGGAACTAAAGCAAAACTACTGCGAAGAGTGAAGATGTGAGGCTCCTTTTGTCTATTACAGCTCCTGTATCACACAAAATGGACTCTTGTGAGCTTTAAGTCATGTTCTAATGTTGTTTCCTCCTCAAAAACACACCTGTTGTTGTATTTTGTTTCATTCACACGTTTGAGTAACTCTTTATTATTAGTCTGTCTACTTCTCCGAAGCTCAAAGTGATCTGTTCCACATTGTGATGTCATGAAGTGGTAGTTCTCAAGTGAATGGCTCGTTTTAGGTTTAGTTCAGTAATTGGCGATTCAGAGATTGGCAGTGCCAGAGCTGAAATGATCCAAATGATTCTAGTGAAGGTGTATGGAATTCAAAAACACAGTGGAGCACTTCCTGTATTACCACATGACATCACAAGGTGGAACAGAGTTGTTGTTTTTTTCCAGTTTGAGAGAAGAACTCAGCCTAAATGTGCAGGTTTGTGAGTAGAACATGTGTGAATGAAACAAAACACAAGTCCAGTTGTGTTTTTGAGGAGGAAACTACATTAGAACATGAATCAGAAAATAGTGTCATATGGGCCCTTTAAACCTTTAATTTTCTGTGTAACTCAAACATTAGTTGATTCCTACTTGGATTTGTAAATAAATATGATTTCTTTTGAATGCTTTGTCTTGGATCACTTATTTCACACATTTTATTTTGTTTTTACAGGATAATAATACAAAAAGTAGGCATTATCGTCCAGCTCCTTTCGTTATTATAGCTTTCTCATTGTTTTTAAAATGATGTGCAATACAGAAAGGCGCATTGTGTAACATTTCTGGTGGACAGTCATTCATTTGTTAATTTAACTGCAAGTATTGAATGAATGAGAGGTTTAGTTCCAGAACTGCGGGGTGAGCGGTTGCTCTTGAGCTAATGCATTCTCAAAACTGAATTTAAAGAGAGCCATTCTGTCCTGTCTTCTATTCTGCATGCAGCAGCATCTCCAACTGTTAAAGGGGGTTATGTAACTTCTCTGGTAGAGGAGCTGCTCTGCCTGGAATGTTCCACAGTGTGACATTAAACAGCTCTGCTTTACATTTATTCAATTACAGGTGGTTTTATGTGTCAAAAATCCCTAGAAAAACAGACATTCTGACTGAGGGGGGTCGCCTCTCCACAGATCTGACCTGTAACTTGGTCTGGTTTGGTCGCCATGAAGATAGAAAGGTTTAATGCCATACTGTGAAACGTTCCAGACAAAGCCACGACATCTTCATGGAGATTCTGACGGACTCTCCACCAGAAAAGTTACACAATGAAATGTTCCGCAGAGGGCATTAAACCATCTAAAAAGCACCTTAAAACTTCAAATCCTGCCAAATACTTTTCAGAAACAGATAGAACAGTTGAATAAAATTACAGGTCTTGTGGTCATTAGTTCCATGGAGCTGATTAACCCTGAGCTTTCTGTTCATCTTTTTTATGAGAAAAATGAATGAGAAATGTAGTTTTGTTCCGGAAGCGGAGGGTGGGCGGTCCCTGTTGAGCTAATGCATTCTCCAAACTGATTTTCAAGAGAGCCAGTCAAACCTGCCTTCTATTCTGAAAGCAGAAGAGTTTCCAAATTCTCATTAGAAAGTGTGTGTTTTGGTGTTTTGTAGTAAAGGTACTCTACAGAAAGTAATATACTGCTTTATCTAAAACTACATTTAAAAAGCTGATTGGAAAATGCAAAAAAAAACCTGACTGTGAGCAGGATCGCCTTTCCACAGATCTAAACTGTTTGGTCTGGTTTGGTCTCAGTGAAGATAGAAAAGTTTAATGCCATATTGTGAAACATTCCATCTCCATGGAGACAAGCATTTGACAGACCATCCACCAGAAAATTTACACAATGCAGCTTTAAATATTGTGTGTTTTGAAGTTTTCTACTAAAATGGAGAATTCTACAAAAAGACAGTTTGAGTAATATACTTTATCTAAAACTACATTTAAAAAGTTGATTAAAAAAAACAAAACATAAATGGATCTGTAGCTCTGCTGCAAATTGGCACTTGACTTTTTTTGTTTAAGGGTGCATTGTGTAACTTTTCTGGTGGAGGTCCCATCAAATACTTTTCTCCATGGAGATGTTATTGTTTTGTCTTTAATCTTTCACAGTATGGGGACTACAAACACATCATCAGGGTTGAATATTGGACCACTTGAAGCTATTGTTAAAAAAAAAAAAAAACATTTGTTTATTTATCCTGAAAGAGAGAGAGAGAGAGAGAACTGATTATGGAAATTTCAAATTGCTCAATCTATATATATTATATTGTCTATTATATTGTCTATATGTGGTGTAAAACTGTGGAATGGTCAGGATACACATCTGAAAACAAAGCAAAATATCCATAAATTCAAGTTAGAAGTTGTTATACTTATGGTCTGGACACAGTGTATAGAGAGAGGGTCTTAATATTAGAACAATTCTGCCTTAATATTCCCATTAGTTGTGTCTGCTGTCTCATATCGCTGTTGCTCTCCTTTGTATTATTGCAATATGATGATAGTTCTGTCTACTTTATTCCAACTGGCCAAAATTAAACCCATTTTGTCAGCAGAACATTTCAAAACTGTCATACATGCATTTGTGACCAATAGATTGGATTATAGCAACGCACTTTTGGCAACGGGTTCAAAACTCAGCAGCTCGACTTTAAACTTTTAGCCTTTCTCCACGAGCTCAGTTTCAGAGTCAGTTTTAAAATTCTTTTATTTACTTAATTTAAGTGTAGCATCCTCCTACCTCGCTGACCTGATCCACTCTTACACCTCGCACTCCCAGGTCATCGCACTTTTAACAAGTGACATGTACATTGTTTCTTGTTTAGTATCTTATTGTTTTCTGTGTTTTTTAGTCTTTGTATTGTGCTTGTATTGTGTATTGTGTTGCTGTATTGTGTACTGCGTTTGTCCTTGTCTATTCTGTGTTTGTGTACATTACTTTGGCCAGCTGTAAAGTTCTTAAAGTGTTTTATAAATAAAGTTGGAATGGTTATGTTACCAGTGACTCATTGTCCTCACTTGTAAAGAGTTCACATGATTTCATGTAAAACGCCTGAAGAACGCAAAAGAAACTTCATTATGTTCAATTAGAAAAGGGAATGGGATTAAATAAGTTTTCTTCTTCCC